AGAGGTACATATTGTACTTTATACTGTACTACATCTCAGAGGTACATGTACTTTTTACTCCACTACATCTCAGAGGTACATATTGCACCTTTTGTACAGTGTGGTATTGATACTTTGAGTTAAGTAAAGGATCTGAATACTTGTACTTCTTGACCTTTTGTCTCTGCTGTCTGCAGCGATGTGACTGATGTGAAGTGACTCCACAGAGGAGAGGAGATGATGAGATAAATTCGAGGAACTTCTAAGTAAGTAAAGATCCTCATCACTCAAGCTGGACGTCTCTGAGATGTGTCGTCACTTTAATGTTATTGTGCAAGACTTTCATATAAATAGGAAAGAAAACAAAAAATATACGATTGTACAACTGGAATAAGAGCACTTAAACAGAAATCATTATTTTACTTTAACCTGCTCGTGTCCATCAGGGCAGAATGTCCTCGGGCCACAGGCAGCGGGACGTAGATCCGCAGCGCCCCCTGCTGGACGGGGAGGAGGAGGACGAGGAGGAGAAGGCGGCGGTGGCGTTGGAGTTGGAGAGGAGTTCCCGCGGTGAGGACGAGCGACGGCTCTGGTTCATCCAGGACTGCTGCGGCATGGTGTGCGCCTTCATCACCTGGTTCCTGGTCTTCTTCGCCGACTTCGTGGTCACCTTCGTCATGCTGCTGCCCTCCAGGAGCTTCTGGTACGCCGTGGTCAACGGGGTGCTGTTCAACAGCCTGGCGGTGCTGGCGCTGGCCTCGCACCTCCGCACCATGCTGACCGACCCGGTGAGGGAAGCTGACGGGACGCCAGCTGGAGGAGTTTGATTTAAAATATATAATAATGAAATGTTTTCATCGAGTCTCCTCCTCTCTTCTCCTCAGGGAGCCGTTCCTAAAGGAAACGCCACTAAGAAGTACATGGAGAGTCTGCAGCTGAAGCCCGGAGAGGTCATCTACAAATGTCCAAAATGCTGCAGCATCAAACCAGAGAGGGCTCATCACTGCAGGTCAGACGGTCGCAACCTTTCACTGATTTGGGAGTTTTTTTCTGAATCTGAAGCAGAACGAGACTCTGAACTCTGAACCAAAAGAGGCTTTAAATGTCTATTTATATTCATATCATGTATTTGTTCTGATAGTTTATCTTCTGGTTTGAAGAAAAGACACAAAAAACAAATCTCTTCTGTTCATGAAGATATTACATAGTTTACATTTGGTGAGGATAATAAATTCCTTTTAACTCAAGGGTCCACTTACAAGCTTTATCTGGAGCTTTCTACCATATATCACAGAGCTGCGAGGATCCATTGTTTGGACTTCTTGTACGCGTCGGCTTTAAAAACGAGGGCATCAAAGGTCAGGCAAAGGAAGGCTTTGTCTTTTTTTGACATTTATATGAAACTCGGCGAGAGAAGAAGAAGCACCAACAATGGAGACGATTGAAAATGTTCCTGCTATGAAGCAGAGATGAACTTTTTATCTCTAAATCCATGATTCCATTTTAGTCTTTAATTATAAGCTCAATATTTACATTCATGGCAAAAGTGACTGGATATCGAAAATGTTTTGTTTGTTAGAGGAAGACTTGAATTAAGGGGAGCAAGAAAAAGAAACGGAGGATCTGTTTACCATCTTGTTTTTGATTGGAAAGAATCAAACTCCTGTGGCTCCTTGTCTTAAACTTGTTTCATCTGTTAGAGATGTAAACAAGGGCGCTGTGGTGTTGTTAAAGCTGTAAATGAGTTCCTGTAGCTCATGTACTTCCATGTTCTCTTCTTCTTCTACAGTATCTGTAAGCGCTGCATCCGTAAGATGGACCACCACTGTCCCTGGGTCAACAACTGTGTCGGGGAGAAGAACCAGCGCTTCTTCGTCCTCTTCACTGTGAGTTCATTTACAACCAATCTAACCAATCAGACGTCCACTCGCGTTAAATATTTAAGGGAAACTACAGATGTTGTGGTTTTGTCATTTAGACGGACAGGGTTGTAAACATTCCATCATAAGCTATTATTACTCGTCCTTCATCCAATACACTTCATCTCTCTCCACTAGTGAGAGTAAAGATCTGGTGTTTAGACACAGTTTTAGTTTGGAATTTCAGAAATAATTACATCTGTGTTGTAATATAATTTGAGTTTTTGACAGACGACTTCTCCTGGTCGTTTTATTATTTAGTTCTGAAGGCTGAAGCTGAGCTCTGCTGCCACACGTGAGTCTGGAGATGCTCCACCGTCTCCAGACAGTGAAATGACGGACGGCCTACAGATGTTCTCGTCACTGTTGAATAAATACTCGGTTAACTAGATGTCTGCGCTCAGCCACAGAGTTTAGAGAGACTGAATAGGAACCGATATCAAAATGTTCCTGTTGTTTCTTCGTTTTTATGTTTACTAACCCATGAAGACATTCATACTATCTGGCAATGAAACGGTCTCTTGCCAGTTTAAAGAACCTGCATATACACACTAATGTTGTAGGAGAAAAGGCTTCATGTGTAGAATGTAAATGTGAGAGACATTTACGGGTTTGTTGTAAATAACAAAAAGGTTATTTTGCTGCGTGGTTCAGTGACATGTTTTCCTTTTCTTGACGTCGGGAACCAGCCAGTCTTCATCTGCTGACTGAGGAAACAACAATGGTGACGTGTGTGTGTGTGTGTGTGTGTGTGTGTGAGAGACTAGTTTAGACGATGTTTAGAGCTGTTTTGTTCATAGATGATACTCATTAGTACTCGTGTTAGACGTTCGGCAACACAACAGGCTGAACCTGAGAGAAGTATTCCCTGTTCGACCCCCTCAGACTCTGAGGCGTTAACCCACCCACAGAGTGAAGAGGTCTGCTTCTCTTCCTCCACAGATGTACATCTCTATGATCTCCAGTCACGCTCTGGCTCTCTGTGGGTACCAGTTCATCACCTGCGTCAGAGTCCAGTGGAGAGGTGAGTCCTAACGGAGGATTTAAACTCCATTCATCTCAGCTGTACTTCACGGTGTTGTGTTTCTGTGGAACAGAGTGCAGTGACTTCTCCCCGCCGGTGACCATGATGCTGATGATCTTCCTCTGCATGGAAGCCCTCCTCTTCTTCACTTTCACATCTGTGATGTTCAGCACTCAGCTCCACTCCATCTGCAACGACGAGACGGTGAGGACGGGAACTCATACATTTAATACTGGATTATGAATAATGAGACGTTTTATCATATGAACAAGGTTGTGTGTATCTGTGTGTGTGTGTAACGAGGTTGTGTGTGTGTGTAACATGGTTGCGCGTGCGTCTGTAACGTGGTTGCGCGTGTGTGTGTGTAACGTGTGTGCGTGTGTGTGTGTAACGTGGTTGCAACCTGGTTGCGTGCGTGTGTAACGAGGTTGCGCATGTGTGTGTGGCGCGGTTGCGTGTGTGTGTAAAATTATTGTGTATCTGTGTTTCAGGAGATCGAGCGTCTGAAGAACGAGAAGCCCACGTGGGAGCGCCAGACTCGCTGGGCTGGTCTGAGGTCAGTGTTTGGAGGCCGCCCCTCTCTGCTGTGGGTCAGTCCCTTCGCTGGACTCAAACTACCAACCCTGCTCCCCAGACGCAGCTGGAGGGGCGGGGCAGAGTTCTCCGTCTGACGAGCTGTCAATCAAATCGCCCGACCAACCACAGCGCTGGTGAAGAACCCAAAGAGTCCAGATGGGTTCTGCAGAGACTTCTGAGCCGGAGAGAAGAACCAGGTTCAGACCACAAGATGTTTGGGCTCCATCTTTAAATCTTTTACCTCCTTCCTGTCAGCTGGGTGGGGGGGGGGGGGAATGTACATCCTGGTACTTAAGACCAACAAAACCAGGACCCACATGACGCTACTGGAGGTCTAAAACTCAACGGGAAGCTTTTAAAGAAATCATGTTTGAATTCTTCCATCAATACGTTAAACATTTAGATGTTTTCAATCCCAAAAATTCCTCTTTTTTTCTTTCCTTAAAGGTGCAATTTTAGTTTAAAACAATCAAAACATGAACGAACATCATGAGAATGTGAAGATTTACAGTGTTGACGTCTACGTAATGTGTTGCAGAGACATCTACTGAGATTAGCATGCTAACCAGCTAGCGTCAGCCCGTCCTGCCTGTTTAATACCACCTGTACCGGTAGAGAGTCACTGAAGGTGACGGTTCAGGTTCTTATTCGACTAACATTCGACTTTGACGATTTAATCGTCAGATCTGCAAAGTTTCTCCACAAAGAATCAAACTAAAGCACCACTTTAAATGTTTACCAGAGATGTGCTCTTAAGTTATTTGGAAATAAGAAAATGACTAATTGACTCATTAAATGTTAGTCGATTGAGACCAAAAGTACTTCTCAGTCGTTAGTGTTTCTATTGGAGTAGATGTCGCTAACTCCAGTTAGCTCAAATTCAGCCGATGCTAACTACAGATTGAGATATCAGCGTTATTTTGACCAGCTCTCTGACTTTCAGCAGTTTGGTTGACTTTAGCGTGCAGTTGTCTTTTTATTAATAACTAATAAATGTGGATTTTATTTATTTAGAGGGAATTTATCAACTTATCAATTTATATCAACTTCAGTTCAAATGAGACGCAACGATGGAACAACCAGAGGCTTTGCAGTGTGCTGGTGCAGCTCATTGGTTGTTTCTTCTGCGATGAAAACTCTTTTCTGGCTGCGTGAACTACAAACCACGGAGCGTCAGTGGCCTTTGATTGTTTAATTTATTGGACAAATGGTTACGACACAAACGTTTAAATAAAAGTCTCTTTGGATGTTGTTTCCTCAGAATACACGACACATTTTTGAGTTCAATCACAAACCTCTTTTACCTTTTCCTGTTTGTTTTTTGTGAGTCTTCTCGACGACTCAAATGTCTCGTTACAACTCGCTGAAAACCACCTGAGCCCTCTAAAGGTTTCATTCACAGAGAAGTGATCGTAAAGGTTGTTGTTCCTAAACTCCACCGGTGTTCCTCGTGAATGTCGTAAATGCTGAACTAACATCCTGTCTAACCTTCATCCTCAGCTGTACTTTGTGTTTAGTGTGAATTTGTAAATAGCAACATGCTAGCACGCTAAACCGAGAGCCGGGTGAATGTTACAGCAGCAGGTTAGCATTTAGCTCAAAGCAGGCACAGTGATGCTAACAGCCTCACAGAGCTGCTAGCATGGCTGCTGACTCGTGAGTCTTGTTTACTTTCAGAAACTCATCAGAACTACAAATATGTAATAGTGGACTATCTGCTCTGTTGATGAATGATCTTTAATCACTTGTTGGTGCCACTTAAGAACAAACGAACGGTTCCTTCATGAAGGCTCAGCTCTCTCTGACACTTCTACTGTTTGGAAAATGTAAACTGCTGTTTGATGTTTGTGGAGAACAGGAAATGCTTTGGTCTGTATGTGACGTCGGTACAATCTGTCTCAAACTACAACCACCAATCAGGACCGGCCGGCTGGTTTCAAAGTGTTTCTCTGGTTACGTCATGCTTCCTCCTCCTGCTGCTGCTGCTCAGGGGAGTTTTATTTACTGTTTTTTCAATAAATTATCTTCCACAAACTCTTTTAAAAGTATTTTTTTACTTCTCCAAATTTAATCAGAGTGTCTGCAGGTCCTGAAAAACGGTCTTGAATTGTCTTAAACACAGAAAAAAGCCAATCAGTGCCGTGCTGCAGATATTTGTTTTTAATTGTTCTGATATTTAAATAAAAGATCCTTAAGTCTAAATTCAAACCTGATGGAAATAGAGAGAATGTGTCATTTTACAGAATGTATTTGAGCGGCTGTACTATATTTGTTATGAGAGATTTCGGAGCCTTTTTATAAGTTGATTAAAGTGAGTTTCTTTCTACCTCTTTAAAGAATCTCAGCTTCTCTCTGGTTTTTATTTCGTCTAGATTCTTTTTGTTCTGACAGTTTAACGCCAAGATATCCTGAACAACTTCTGACCTGATTTTACTAGTCTACTCTGG